TTGCACCTACCTGTTGGGGCATTTGCTTGTCTTCTTTTCAGAAATGTTTACTGTACATTTTTTTTTATCAGGTTTTTGCAGTTAGTTGAATCTCTTGTATTTGTATGTTGACCCCTTCTCAGATGTGTGTTTTACCAGTATGGCCTCCCAAGATGTGGGTTGCTTCTTCAGCCTATGGCTGCTTCCTTTGCCCTGCAGAAGGTTTTTGCTGGGTCATGATCCCAATTGTCAATTTTTGCTCTTGTTTACTGTCATTTTCAGGTCTTGTCCAAAAACACCTCGCCCAATAGATGTCCTAGTTTCCTCCATATCTTTTCTAGCACCTTCATTTTTCCAGCTCTTACCTTTGAGCCTTTAATCCATTTTCGGTTGGATTTTGCAACTGCTTAGTTAAGGAGTCTAGTTCCATTTTTCTGTCTGCTCAACTGTTCAGCCACCGTTGAAGCGACCGTCCTTCCTCCCCGCATGTTGCCAGTGCTCGTAGGAAGTCAGCTGGCTACAGAGTGGATCCACGCGCACATTCTCTGACCTGTTACAATGGTGGAGGTATCTGCCGCTGTCGGTTTCATGCTGTTTGATTATTACAACTTGGCAGTTGATTTTGAAATTATTTAGCATAATTCCTTTTGCTATTTTCTTTGCTAAACGCTGCTTTGTCATTAATGCTTTTGTAGGGATAGATGTGTGTGTATCTGTGTCTGTGGTGTGTGTGTGCATTTGTGTATGTGTGCACATGGACACATGCACACATGCATGTAATCCTAGGGAACGTCTAAGGTTGTTTCCCCTGGTTCCCTGAAGATAGGTGAGGATTATGAGGAGTCTATAGGCAACTTTTGGCAATGTGTACATTTTAACAGTATTGATTAATCCAATCTACAAACACACAGAGTGTATTTCAATTCATTGTGTATTCTCTTTAATTTTTAATTCAGTTTTATATAATTTTGTTGTAGAGATCTTTTGCCCTTTTGGTTAGATGTGCTACAGTGCATTTTACTTTTTATAGTTTCTGAAAAATGGAATTACTTTCTTGGTTTCTATTTTAGATAATTTGTTATTGGTATTAGTATTTAACAACACTAATTTTTACATTTTGTGTCCTGCAACTAAATTTGTGTATTAATCTCTATTGGAGTTTGGTAGAGTCTAAGTTTTTCTATATATAAGACCATGTTGTCCGCAAATAGCAACAACTTGACATCCTCTTTTCCAGTTCAGATGCCTTTATTTCTTTCCTTTGCTTGATTGTGCTGCCTAGGGCTTTCAGCACTATGTTGAATATCAACTGATGGCTTTGCTCTGGATAGTATGAGAGAATGCCTTCAGCTTTTTTTTCACACAGTCCAAGATTAGATGTAGCTTGTTATCTTTACCGATATTATGTTGAAGTGTATGTATGCTCCTTCTATGCCTGACTTACCTGACTTGTTCGGTGTTGAGTGCTGAATTTTGATAAAGGCATTTTTAATGAATTGAGATGATCAAATATCTTTTGTCCATTTTGATGGTGTGGTTATTTTGCTTATTGATGTACATGTTTACCTATTATGAATAATGATAATAATTTTTTAAATTTTCACTAATGTTATTTTGAGAATTTTTGTATCTGTGTTCATCAGGGATATTAACCTATTAGAACTGGGGTGTTCTTGTGTGCTTGCAGTAACAGCAGGATAAGGCTGGCATCGTTGGCTGTGTTTGGAGAGAGTCCCTCATATTCGGTTTTGTGAACTCGTTTAGGAAGAGCCTGAAATCAGTTCTTCTTTAAATGTTTGGTAGAATTCAGCAATGCAGTTATCTTGTCCTAGGCTTTTCTTTGGTGGGAGACTTATGTTTTAAATCACAGATTCAGTTTCGTTAGTTGTCATTGCTCTCTTAGGTTTTCTTCTACTTCATGGTTCAGCCTGAGAAAGTGTATGGGTTCAGGAAATTATCCATTTCTGTGTTATCCGTTGTAATGTCTCTTTTCATCTCTGAATTTCTTTTTTCTTTTTAACTTATGGACTCACTATGTAGCCCTGGCTGTCCTGGAACTTGCTGTGTAAACAGGGCTGGCCTCAACCTGCAGAAATCCATCTGCCTCTCCTAGGCTTAAAAGAGCACGCACCCACATCTGGCCATATCTGATTTTTTTAAACTTCTTTCCTATGTGCACATAGGGCGGGAGTGTGCACTAAGCTACAGGCATGCTTGGGGAAGCAGAAGCAGACATGGAATATCATGGAGCTGGAGTTACGGATAGTTGTGAGCCACCTAATGCGGTTTCTTTTTTCCTTGCTAGTTTTTTAAAATCACTTTATAGCCTAATCCCTGCCCCCTCCCCCTCTCCTTCTAGTCCCCCTTCACAGAGTCCTCCCCCATTCTCCCCTCTTCTTCTCAGAAAAGCTCCCCCACCCCCAAGAGGTACCAACCCACCCTAGCTCCTCAAATCACAGCAGGACTAAGTTTATCCTCTCCCACTGAGGCCAGACAAGGCAGCCCAGCTAGGGGGAAGGGATCCAAAGGCAGGCAACAGAGTCAGAGCTAGCCCCTCCTCCCACTGTTAGGGAATCCAAGGATGACCTTGCTGCCCTCTGTTATTTATGTGTAAGAAAGTCTTATGTGTAGGCTGGTCCAGGGCAGCCCATGCAAGCTCTTTGGCTGGCAGTTTTAGTCTCTGTGAGCCCCCAGGGGCCCAATTTAGTTCATTCTATAAGATCTCCTCGTGGTGTCCTTGACCCCTACAACTCCCTCAATCCTTCCTCCCACTCAAACTTCCCAGCTTGGCCTATTGTTTGGCAGTGGGTCTCTGCATCTGTTTCCATAAGATGCTGGATGGAGCCTCTCAGAAGATGGTTATGCTAGGCTTCTGTCTGCAATCATAGCACAGTATCCTTAATAATGTCAGGGGTTGGCTCTCTCTCATGGGGTGGAAAATAAAACATACATCTGAAGTGGAGAAAGGGAGAGAGCTGTGTAGGAGAGGAGGTGGGGAGGTAAGGAGGGTGGGAATCAGGTGTTGGGGGGATGGGGCAGTGGAAAAGGGAGAAGAGGACCTGGAGAGAGAATGGAAATCTGAAATCAGTGGGGAGCATCTCTGGGACAAGGAAGGCTCCCAGAAGTCTATGCAGTAACCCGAACTGAGATTCCTAGTGACAGGGATATGGAGCCTGAAGTTGCCTCCTCCTGTAGCCAGGTGAGACTTCCAGTGGAGGGAGGGGGACACCAACCCACCCACAAAACCTTCGACCCACAGTTTGTCCTGCCTACAGGAAGGAAATGTTGGGATGAAGATGGAACAGAGATTGAGGGAATGGCAAACCAATGACTAGCCCAGCCTCTGAGGGTTTTAAGAGCCAACTCAGGGCCCCTATACGAGCAGTACACATTTTTACTGCTAAGCCATCTACCCAGTCCCCAGCCATTCACATTTTGATCTTTGTATTTGTGCTGATTTGGTTTGTGTCAATTTGACACAAGATCAGCTCATCTGAAAAGAGGGAACCTCAAATGAAAAAAAAATGCATCTATCATATCATGCCTCTAGTCCCACTTGACTCTGCTGTGCATGCCATTCCTTCCACCACTTTTTTTCCAATTCCATGAAACCACTTTTTAAAAGCATCTTTCCATAAGACCTGCTTTTGTTGTTGTTGTTCCAGGGGTGCTGAGCACACTGCATGCTCATCCTCCCCTCAGAGCCTCTCTGGGTCTCTCGGGCTCCCTGGAGCAGCCGTGGCCCTGCAGGTGGCAGTGCCTTGATTAGTGATTGGGGTGTGTGGTGTGTCTCCAGGGCCGGTGTTTCTGCTTGTATAAGGAAGTAAACTGAGAAGTCCATAGGGAGCACATCAGTATGTGCTCCTCCACCGTCTTTGCTTGAGTTCCTGCCTCCAGGTTCCTACCCTGCTTGAGTTCCTGCCTCCAGGTTCCTACCCTGCTTGAGTTCCTGCCTTGGCTTTGCTCAGTGATGGACTGTGATTGGGACATGTAAGTCAAATAAACCTGTTCCTTCACAAGTTACTTTGGCTTATGGTCTTCATCATAGCAACAGAAAGCAAACGATGACTGTATTTTTTATTATCTATTTCATATTCTTATGATCTGAATTTTATTATCACTTTCCTTCTTTTGATTTTTGGTTTGGCTTGTTCTTGCTCGTTAGTTCTTTGAAATGTAGCTGTAAGCTGCATATTTACAGTTTTCTGCTTCTGTCACACAGTTATTGATTTCTCTGAACCTGAGTCTTGACACTGTTTTTGCCCTGTGACATAGCTTTGATGTATGTGTCTCCACTCTTTTGTTTCAGGAAAATTTTAAATGTATTTCTTGATCATTGGTTGTTCAACAATTAGTGATTTAGCATTCATTTGCTTATATTGTATTGAAATTTTTCTTACTGATTTCTAGTTTTATTGCAACATGATTGAAAAAGCTACTTGATATGACTTCAGGGCTTTTAAAAAATCTTGTGTGTGTGGTGGAAAGTGTGTGTGTGTGTGTGTGTGCGCGCACGTGGGCGTGCACGTGCCATTGCACATAGACAAAGAACAACCTCAGGTGTTGAACCTTGCACCTTGTTTGAGGCAGCACCTTCTGTTCGCCTCTGTGGACACCAAGATAGCAGGCTGGAGAGCTTCTGGGGTTCTTGTGTCTCTGCTTCCCATCTTGCTGTCGGAGCTCTGGTATTCACAGAAGCATGCTACTACGCCTGGCTCCATGTGGGGTTCTGAACTTGGCTCCTCACACTTGTATGGAAAGTACTAGACCAACAGAGCATCTCCTCCACCCTTGACTTCAGTTTAAAAAAATAATTGTTGATGCTTGTCTTCTGGCCATCTGCTCTTGCATGGATAGAGCAACAGAAATAACAGGTGACTGGGATTTCAATCCAAAGTGATATCTATGTTGTTAAAGAGAATATTATGGTGCAGAAGAATACCCTCCAGGGACAGGAATTGCAACTTTGGAGGGTTGTGAGGGCTGAGTCCCGACTCATCTGTTGGGTTTGTGGTTTTCAGGGAAATGATGCTGGTTTCTCATCAGAAAAGCATCAGGCAGCTGCAGGAAACCCTGAGACAGAAGCTGCTGAGCGATGATAGCTGGAGGGAGAAGGTAACACTGGCTCTCATCAGCGTGTGTCTTACTTGCTTTTGAAACCCTCTGTCCATCTGCCAGAAGACTATTCCAGATAGATTTCTTTGCTTCTGTGTATACTTTTGAGTCCATGTGGAATTTCCAACTCCAAATATACTTAAGATATAAGTATTTTCCAAAATATTAGACAATGTGGTAGGAAGAAAAAAGGAAAAGAAAAATTACATTTTGAAATCTAGTAATGTTAGAATATTTCTTGGTTCTTATACAGGAAAATGTAAGTTTAATATTTAAATGTTTACTTTTTCCAGCAAGTGTCAGAATCTGCATTTGATTGTATTTGTTAAAGCATAGAATACCCATAATTCTCATTTCTTCGCTTTTAAGAGAAATTATTTTAAATTATTAGTTATGAAATTTTGATCCTTTTACTCTGGTACAGTAATGAACAAACATTTCTCTTTCTCCCACTAAGAACTATTTGCCCTCAGAGCATGAAAAAGATACACTGTGGTCTTTGGCCTTTGCTGTATTTTTCACTATATGTAAATAACAAAGTCACACTTTTTAAGTAGTCCCCACTTTCTCAGCTTGCACAACCCTGCTCACAAACTTCAGCACTCCTCACTGACCCATGGGACCACCCTTCACACTGAGCCTAAGCCCTCCCACCTTTCTTGACTCTAGTGCTGTCTGTACCCAGCACAGGCCTTCTTCCTCAGTTTTATCATTCGTTGCAACAAACTGGGGCTAGTGCTGGCTTTGGAACCCAAGGTCATGAACATGGTGGGCAGAGCACTGCCTGTGAACACGCAGCCCCCAGCACCACTGTTTTCCCAGGTTTACACTTTCTCCAAGGCTGGAGCTTCAGGTGATGCGCCTGTGCTCTTCCTGATTCGTTCAGTTCCTGTCAGATTCTTCTTGGGGATTGGATCCTATTGCCCGTAACCTCAGCCACCTTCAAGCTGAAGCCTCGTGTGTGCTCCCTCAGTGAGCCACCCAGTGCATGGAAACCGCGAATGCAATGTTAATGGCTCTGCCGCATTCCAAATGTGTCCCTTCCATTCCTAGTTCCCAGACCTCCTCAACCAGTACTAAACTGCTATGAATCAACACCTTCTCCCTTGTCCTTAGATGGTCAGACTATCACTATCAGATGACCTCTGGCTAGGGTGTTAACACACCTGTTTACCCATTGCTAAGGCTGGGGCGGGAAGAATCTGACTTTGAGGCCAGCCTGGGTGGGAGAGATGCGGTGTAAGGAAGACAATCACTATTACACAGAGCTGTTCAGAGGTGGGAATAAGGTCTGAGACTATGGGCAGAAGTTGCTGTAAATGCCCAGTCTTTCTTCATATAGTAGACCTTCTCTTGTGTAAGGTTCCCACTTAGAATTTTTCTTGATTCTTGGTCTAATTAATTGGATGGCTCTCTCTTGTTCACTTATTTGCTCCTTATCTTTTGAACGTTTCAATACTCAAACAGATTATCTTCCCAGCATGTACAAGGCCCTCGCTTCCACTCCAGCACCATCCAAACTGTCAACCAACCATTGCAAAACGGAGGCTTGTCTCTTAATGTGCAGATGCTAGGTTAGTTTTGGCACTTTGGCAAAGGCCTGGAAAAGTAGTCTGTGAGGGCCACAGGACTTGAGATGAAAGCAGCTCTTTCATCTCATCTCTTTGAGATGAGAGCAGTTTGTGGATATTTAATATGCTATTCTCTGAATGGCCTATATTTTGACTCAGAAATTGTTATGGCAGAGTTAATGAGGATAGAGTTATGGCCGTCATTTTCTCCAATCCCCGAAGTCTTCCACTTACACTGAATAGAGAGATGAATGCTCCTGCCTACCCTGAGACACTCTCCACACTCACACTGAAGAAGGGTCTTTATGGCTCTGTCTAGTCCTACTCAGAGATCAAGCTAGTGCTAGCCTCTGACATTTAAAAATTCAGTATTCTTGCTTTATACAAAGCTAGCCTGATGGTGAAAAGAATCCTGGGTAATATTGGGTAAGTTCCTCCTAAGTGCTTGCTGTCTCTCTCACACGTTATGCTGATCACCCCCATGTCCTCTGGCATGTATAATTTCCTATAGTATAGATGGATTTCTCATTTGTTGGGAGGACATTGCTTCTCATTAAATGTTACTATTTAGCCAGCAGTAAATCATGGTCAGACAAGTAAAGCCAGAGAATAGTAAGAATGTCTTGACCGTGTTAGCTATTAAGACTATGAATAAAAAGTTCCCTAAAAGTCCTCTCATGAGAAAAGAGAATCACTAATATGACATTGTCATCTCTCTCTTGGGTCACTGTGCCTTTGCGTAGGAATGAAATGTTCTCTTTACAAATATATAATGCACAAATTAGAATAAACTTAATAACTTAAATGCTTTTAAAGTTTTTAAGAAGTAGATAGCAATTTGTGTCTGGCTTAATTATTTTAGAGTATGTAAAACACATAATAGGATCAATAGTTGCTATGCAACAAAGAGGGCACATTTTAAAATAACTGTTTACTAATTGTCATGAATTTTTGTTTATTTAAGTATTGCTTAGATACAAAGAAAGCAAATTAATGGGCACGATGAACCTTTAAAATTGGTTCCAAATGCACAATATTGTTACTATTCATTTAACATTTTGTGATGAAAAAATCCTCTTGTTGCCTGAATAATTGTATAACCAGTTTATATCATTTGTTGACACTCACTTTTTAGTATAGCAGACAATTTCCAAACAAATATTTTCTTAGATTATCATTAACATATTACAGTCTAGAAACATTTTGGAAGTTTACTAATGACCTCATTTTTAGTACATAGGCCTTTTGAAAAACAAACAAAACCTTATTTCCTGCCTAGAATAACTAGATTGACAGTGAAATGCCCAGGAGTAAACTTCAATTCAATAAATAATAAATCCTAAATTTGCCAGGTTGGTAGCCTGTATCTTTAATCCCAACACTGGGGAGAGAGAAACAGGAGAATCTCTGTGAATCTGAGGCCGGCATGGTCTACACATAGTGAAACCCTTCTCAACAACAACAACAACAACAAAAACAAACAAAAAAGAAATAATAAATTCCAAATTATAAGAAACACAAAATTCATTCTTTTTTCAGTAAACAGTGCAAATGGTCTGATGATTCCCAATGTGTTATAATTTGCTACCAATAAAGGAGAATGGCTAACACACAAAATACAAAGTTTGACCAGATGAAGTCATTTATATATAATGTCACTTTTAATTGTACATCATAAGCATATGGCTACAATACTGAGGGCACAGTTTGACTTTTTAAATTATATACATAATTTTAATGATTGAATTCATGAAATCTAAATAGTTTAGATCTAGAATCATCTGCAAAGAATGTCTGATACACACCATGAACCCAGACAATGAAGTAGTCCCCGCTATTAGAACGCTTACTGTACACCAGGCTTTGTGCTGAATGCTTTTTAGGAGTATAGTTTTTATGAGTTTAATTTTTATGACATCATTGTTTCAGTTCTACAGATGGGAGACGTTAGGTAACATATGAAGGCTAGAGAGCAAGGAAATGACAGACGTCAACAGCATTCTCCAGGATCTAAGTGCAAAGCCAAGACTTCTGTGCTTCTCCAGGGTACACTCACAACCGCCTGTTTACTCTTCCATCACAACAAACAAAACCTTGCAGAAAAAACAAAACAAAACAAAACAGAAAACAGCTGCTTCGAGACATCTGACTGACTGTGACAGTCCTGTCACTGTGGTAGCTCAGTCCCTTGACAGTGTCCAGGCTGTGACACGGGAGAGTAGGAAACAGGCTATGCTTGGCGTCTTCCTTGAACTAAGGAGTCTGTGGAGATCAAAGTAGCAACAGTGTTCAAAGTAGTATTTGGAGAAGGGGTCTAAAGAGGAGGAATGCAGGCGATCTAGGAAGTACATGTGGGAACTTTAGCCAGGGAAGGTAATCTGAGAGAAGTGAAAATTCAAACACTCACAGACAGCCAGGCACTAGCCTGTTTTTACCAGACTGACTAGAAAGCCTGTAATACACAGGACACCCAGAAGGTTCTTCCTTAGTTGGCATTCCATTATTGGGCATTGTTAGGCTTGATTGGTGCTCTGAGCCTCACAAATGTCAGAAGGAGAACCTAAAATAAGCTGACATTTCACTGTGTCCTCCAATAGATTCCTCACACTTTCATAGAAATGTTAACATATCCAGATTCTGGAAGAGAAACCGTGCTGAAGCGCAAGCACCTAGCTGGGTGAAGCTCACAGTGCCTGGGGTCTACTCCACGATGTCCACACACAGCAAGAACTAGAATAGAACTCATAATGACATGAAAAATCAGGGACTAAAAACTGACCCAGAGGGGCTGGAGATTGACCTGGGTTCAGTTCCCAGCACCCATACGGTAGCTCGCAACTGTAACTCCAGGACCAAGGGATCTGATGCCCTCTTCTGGCCTCTATAGGCACTACACATGCATGATGCAGAGACAGACGTGCAGGCACAACACTCACTCCCATAAAATAAAGTTAAATATTTTAAATTGCTCAGACACAGATGTTAATGTTAAAAGATAAGAACATTAAAACAGTTGACGTGAGTGCTTGCCATATGTCAAAGAGGTAAAGGAAATTTTCATCATGTTTAGTCATGCAAGCTATAAACACGATGTAAATTGAAAACTGCAATTCAGACAAGAGTACATTGGACTAATAAAAAATTAGACATCCCACAAGAAAAGTCCAGTGTACCTGAAAACACAGCGAATAGAAAGAAAAGCCTTTCAATTAAAACAAGATTTTCCTTTAAAGCCTCAGAAAGTAAAAAGCAGACCATCAGTTAGTGAGCTGTGAGGAACCACAAATGGTCTGATATATGCGGCTAGAATTCCTGAAGATCAGAGAAGAGAAGGGAGACAGAAGTAGCTAAGTAAATGATGGTGAGATGTTGATGAATTAAATAAAAATAAATTTACGAAGCTCAACAGGCCACAAGCACAAAAAAAGCAAACACACCAAAGGACATTGTGATGCAAATTCTCACAAAAAAAAAGATAATTTCTTTTTTCTTTCTTTTTTCCTTTCTTTCTTTCTTTCTTTCTTTCTCTCTCTCTCTCTTTCGTTCCTTCCCTTCCTTCCTCCCTCCCTCCATCCCTCCTTCTCTTCTTCTTTCCTTCCTTCCTTTATTTTTAAAGAATTCAGAAGGCTAGAAAGATTGAGAGAGGTTAATAGTATGTCCCCATCTTGTAGAGGACCCAAGTTCAGTTCCCAGCATCAAAGTTGGGCTGAGCACAGCCATCTGAATCTCCAGCTCCGGGGATCCGCTGTCTCTCGCCAGTGCTTATGTATACAACCCCTCACGGACACATACGTAACTAAAAAGGTTTTTTTCTTTTCAACGTTTTTTCTTACATAGTATTTAATCATTACAGTTTCCCTTCCTTCTACCCCTCCTACCAGCAATGGATGAATGTTCCACTTACTCCACATCCTCATCAGCTGAGCTGTCACAGATGATCTTAGTCATCTGACAGGTGTAAGATGGACTCTCAAGGTAGTCTTGATTTGGATTTCCCTGAAAGCTACGGTTGTTGAATATTTGCCATTTGAGTTCCTTAACCATTTGAGTTTCCTCTTTTGAGAATTCTGTTTAGATCTGTATACCATTTTTAATTATACCATTTTATTGTTTCTTAATATCTACTTTTTTGAGTTCTTTATATATTTTAGATATTAATTCTATATGTGATTTTTATTCGTATGAATCTTTTCCCATTGTGTAGGCTGTCACATTGTCTGAATGACAGTGTCCTCTGCCACGCAGAAGCTTCTTCGTTTGATGAGGTCCCATTTATTAATTATTGGTCTTAGTGCCTCTGCTAATGATGTTCAGTTCAGGAAGTCTTTTCCTGTGACAGTGAGTTCAAGGCTTTTCCCCACCTTCTGTTCTATCAGGCTGAGTCTGTCTGGTTTTATGCTGAGGTCTTTAATCCGCTTGGAGTTGAGCTTTGTGCAGAGGGATAAGTATGAATCTACTTTGCGTTCTAGGACTTGCAGACACCAGTTTGACCAATACTGTTTGTTGAAGATGCTGTCTTTTCCCAGTATGTGTATCTGACTTCTTTGTCAAAACTCACGTGTCCCATACATGTATCTGGGTTTTCAAGTCTATCTCGTTGATTGACATGTCTGGCAATATCATGCAGTTTTTATTATTATAGCTCTGTAGAGCAACTTAAAATTGAGGGTTGTAATACCTCCTGCAGTTCTTTTATTATTCAGGATTGTTTTAGCTGTCTTTGGGTTTTGTGTTTAAATTAAAAAAAAAAAAATTAAAGGAAAAAATCAGAAGGCTATTGGTACAACTCAATAGTAGAGCACTTACTTACCTAGAAAAAGCGAGGCCTTGAATTCAATCCCCAGCACCAGAAAAGATATTGCCAGGGGTAAAAATCATTTCATCATGATAAAGGGGTCATCTCAGTAAAAGGACATAATAACCCTAAATGCTCAAATGAATTCAGGTCGCAGCACCTACGTCAAAAGCGAGGTATGGCTTCTCACCATGCTGCGGGATGCAGAGATAGGCATTTGCTTTCAGCTTGCTGGCTGCCGTCCTCCCTAGCTCCAAGTTCAAGAAGAGACCCTGCGTCAAGTGGAGAGCCATAGAGCAGGACACTCCGTGTCTCTCTCTAGCTTTGGCAGTGTGCTCATGGGCTCACATATATGCTACACAGAATCACACACAAACATATATACACACATATAAAATTATATATACAATATATATTAATACATGAAGCAAAAACTGATAGAACTGCAAGGAGAAAAAGAAGTTCACAATCCAGAAGTTAGCCTCTTTTTCTTAATGACAGATAGAAAATAGCCAAAAAAAAAAAAAAAAGAAAGAAAAAATAGTATGGAAATAGCATATTAATTCAGTTTTTAAAGCTACCCTAGAAATACTATTAACAAACCTGATATGAGATATTTGTAGAGTCCTCCACTGCCTAGTACTGTACACATTTTTTTTATGTGCACTTGTCGAAATGGACCGTATTTTGTGCTACACATTTTGAAGGATTTAAGACATACAAAGTATTTTCTCTGACTACAGTGAAACTGAGTTAGTCATTAATAGAAATTTCCCAGGCTTTTGAAAGTAAACAAACATTGAATCTGTGCCCTTAACAACTATGTTGTGTAGGCACGTGGGGAGACAGGTGAGGAGTTCATGTGAGGAGTTTTGATTTTATTTTTAAAGCATTAAGAAACCACTAAGAGAATAAAATAATCTCTACTTTGTGAAGAACACTGTGTCCCATACACAACATGGACTGGAGAGAGAACAAAGTGGCCTTTGCCAGGAGAATCAGACTCGTGGAAAGAGAGGCATGATAATGGCATGAAGACATCTTCTGCTGGGTGTGGAGAGGAGGGAGAGCTGGGAAGGCGTGCTGTGTCCAGACATGGGGAAAGTGAGGGCCACTGTCCAGACTCCCACTCTGCAGCTTCCCTGTGATTGTCTACCGAAGGCACACATTGGCAAGTGCCTGGTCTTCAGAAGCGTGTTCTTTCCATCTGAACAGTGCCCTGGTGTCCCTTCAAGATCACCAGTAACCTTTCTGCAAACAGTGTAGAAATGTATTTTCAGAGGGCCAGACTATCTTCTCTTGTTGAGTCTACATTTTCCATTTCTGTCCTCCAGGCAAACTGACTCTGGGGCTAGTCTCTTAACTCACATTATTTAAACTAAAGGGCTTCCTGTAAACTTTAACAAACTTTCTGTGTCCTGGTATCTCAACTTCAGGGATTCCTTGAGAAATTCAGGTTGACCTGTTCCTTCCCTAACTGACCAGAATCACAGTCAGAAACAGTGAGCTTTGACACTCTCTTCCCAGTTTGTCTGGCATTGACCACACCCCATAGAACTAATCACCTGAGCATGGCTCAGTGTGGACCTGGAGTTGTTAGGATCTCATCTGGTCTCAGAAGAAGACATATACAGTTGAGTGATTCTGTTATCGCAGGTTTCTGCTCTCTCTCTTGCTCTAGTAGATAGAGCCAAAGCCAATAGCTAAAAGCCACATTGAAGGAGATGTTGGCTCAACTACAGGAAAAACTGCTTAATGCTCAGAAATGGAAATTCCTGCCGGGGGAAGGAGTGAGTTATGGTTTTGTGAGGCGCGAGGAACCGTGGAACATCCTTCTGTGTCAGCTCTGTGGTAGAGACCGCAGGGCTGGCACGTGAAGGCAATCTCCGCTGGCTGTTGAATTCTTGCCCATGCTACAGCCTTACTCGGATGCTTTGCCTCATTTAATCCTCATAAAGGCCCCCAAAGGAACTAGTTATAATCCCACCAGGAGAGCTTACGGTCACAAACTTAAGATCACACAGCAAGCGTCAGCTCCACCTCAAACTGAAGTCCTTACTTGTTTTCTGAAGTCCCTTCCAGCACTGCGATTCTATCTGAGTCTGCATGTGGTTGCGGACATCACTGTCTTCTTCTGTCACTGTTTTCCCTTTGTTCTAGCCTCACTCACGTGAAAAATGTCAGCCTGTGTGTGACTCCATAGCCCACGGTGACCATCCATGGAGACACTTGAAACTTAAGCATTTGTTCTTTTTTCAGCTGAGCATAGTCTAACCTCAGTATGGGGGGTGGTTTTTGTTTTTTGTTTTATTTTTCTGGGTTCCTGATGAAGAGCAAGTTACCTGTGTGAGTAAGCTTTTAGCCATTTTAAGTATAAATGACTGAGGTCTTGGTAGTTCCAAAAACTGTCGCATCTGCTACGTTTTCAGTTTTAGTTATTAGAATATTTGGCCCAAGGTTAACTTTCTAAGTTAAAATATTTAATACTAGAAATTTGAAAGTACTTCAATTAAAAGTTGATGTTTGGCTATTTTAAACATTGGAGTCTGAGAATATGTTGAATGTACTCATTTCAAGGTAACTGGCCTTGTGTGTTCTAACATGCTCTTTTCCAGATTGAAGCTGAGCTCACCAAGGAAAGAAACCAGCATCTCCTTGAGTTCCAGGAGCAAGCTCTTCTCTTTAAGAAAGAAGCTAAGCTGCAACTTGACATTGAAAAGGAAAAACACCAGGAACTAATCCGGAAGTATCAGCAAGAACAAGAGGACCTGCAGATGAAGGTCTGTCCTCACGGTCTGTGCTGAAGCACAAACCTCGTGCTGCCCCCAGGCACACCTTCCTTTCCATCTCTCTGGTTACCACACCTTCATTCTGCCCACACAGACACATGGATTGGTTTGCCTGTTCTTCGGAAAAGATGCTGGACATAAGTTACAGAACACACAGCCACACACTATAGAGATTTGTTTCCTACTGGCATCAACTTACCTTTAAAACTAATTACACTGCATGACTAATAATTAGCATGGCTGGATGGGCCAATATCAAAAGTTAGTAAAGTATTTTACAGAGAAATGTCCTTCCTGGAGTTTAACCTTCTTAACTGAAGATATTTTAAATTCTGACTAATTTGGGGTAAGGAAGATATTATAAAGTATATAAAAAGCCAAGAGTCTGTTGACGTACCCTGCTTTGTCGGCTGGTTGTTGGTTTACTTAGTTAGGGGACACCTCTTGCCTCAGCCCCCCAAGGTTGGGATTACAGATGTGTACCACCAAGTAAGGCGAGTTATTCCTGCTTTTATAGGACTTAAGTTGTAGAGAGGGAAGAAAGGAGGGGGAGAGGCAGCCGGCAAGAGAACAAATCAAAATTCAGTGTGAAACATATTTTGAAGAAACTCATTAAGAATCCGTGTTAAGGGTTAGGTAGCTCAGCAGGTAAGGGTGCTTGCCACTGTTAAAAGCATGAATTCAGTCTCTGGGGCCCACATGGTGAAGGAGGGAACTACTTTCCATATGATATCCTCTGACCTCCACATATACACCGTGACATACATGTACCTGTACACACACACACACAGAGAGAGAGAGAGAGAGAGAGAGAGAGAGAGAGATGTTTCTAAAATATAATCTTTAATCTTTTTAAATCTTTTTTTAAATTCATGTTAGGGGCTAGTGTTGTAGTAAATTAAAAAAAATAAACTAGTGTTAGGTATATGAAGTTTATTATTAGCCCTAAGATTATCACTGTGGTATTATCTAACCCACTATCACAAATAATAAGACACAGACATCTGTTAGAGTTATAATTGCCTTATTTACCTTGGGCCGGGCAGATATTTCACTTATACTGTCTCAATAACCTCACCATCCCTCTCTTAGCCCCCATCCAGTGCCATCCATCTTAATCCTCCTCATCTGGTCTACCTTCCATCCATAATCCCATGGTACTTGCTTGTATTCATCTGGGCCTTTTCACGACATTATTGGAGTTCTTCCTCCCAGGCCATGTGGTTTCTTTTCCACACTAACCCATTGTGGCATCCTTCTTTCTCTTCTCTTCCAGTCCATCTGTCTCCCATGATTCCCTCTGTCCTCTCCAAGCCTGTGAACCTTAGCCATGCCTATCCCATTCTGCTCTGCCCAGGTAGAGGCCATTTAATCAGCCCATCAGGTAGGTTTGCACAACAAGGATGGGTGTACCCAGATCTTGAGTGTTAGTAAGATGCATCAGACCAACCTCTAACAGGCTAGAGAAGTGGTTCTATGTTAAGCACATTTATTCTTGCAGAAGACTGAGGTTCAAATTCAAACACCTACATAGCAGCTCACAACCCCCTATAACTCCAGTTCCATAGGACTCAACCCACTCTTAGGCATGGGCCTGGTGTGCGGACATATATGCCAGCAAAACACTCAGATGGCACAAATAAGTAAATTTAAAACATTTTTAAAAGGGTCTGTGTTAAGTATCCGACAGCCTAAGGGCCTCTGTGTGTGTGTGAAGCTGGGCCATTCCGGAGCTCACAGCACATGACATGGGCAGTAGCCCCGCCTCACTCAGAATGCCCTGCAGGTGCTTCTGTCTGTAAACTTGAGGATTTTATACTTGACTTTGTGAAATTTTAAGAATGAATTCCTATCGAAACAATGAATTGTGTCCTGGGAGCTTGGTGCCTCCACTCCCCTGATGGTCTAGCCTGTCCTAGACAGGTCCCCTCATCTTGCTGCATAACTCCTGGCATCGAAGGCTCCACCAAGTGGCCCCCTTCACCTCAGGACTGCAGCTGCCCTGAGTTACTTGAGATTTCATGGGCAGAGGGATGCAAACAAAATAATACCATTACTTGAAAGGTCTAATTCAAACTCTATAGGTGAAATTTGATTTTTAAATGTTGACTCCCATTTTAAAAATCCAGATATATCTGTGGCCCTGTAATGCTCCTGTCACAAGGACAGCTTGCTCTGTGTCATTGTCAGCTCTGCTGTGGGGAAGGGAAACCATTGTTCAGACCTAACAGTGATAGGTGAAAAGAGTAAAATATTAATTTCTGAAATGACTCATGGTGGTGAACAGATTTCTTCCAAAAGTGATTCCTTATGTAAAGTTAACATTTGAAACAAATTTTAGATACATACTGTTTCTAAGCAGTGGTCCACAGAGCTCTGGAAACTCATCTCCAGAGTCTCTGTGGCTGGTTTCCCACTGGAGCATAAGTAGGGGACCTTAGAAGTGCTTCTGCACGCCTGCTCTTCTGTTCCTGTTGTTTGCCTGCTGTTGTATTTGCTTGTTTTTAAGACAGTAGTAGCTCACACTGGTCGAGCACTCACCATGAAGCCATGGCTGGCTTTATTTGGCATGAGCCACTAGGCTCAACTTTTTGTTTTTTAAGGAGAAAGAAAAGCCTTTTCCATTCCAAAGACTGTGTGCTTTGGGCACAAGGTCCCCTGAGTTATTGTCTCATGTTCTTGTGTAAAGTGAGAAATAGCACGTTTGCACCATGTTCTGGTGTTCTCTGTCTAGAACTGCCATCATAACAGCCACAGCGGCTGCTTATCCCTCAGTTCCATTTACTCAAATTTAATTCGTACCTCATCAGTCATTCTGGCTGAATTTCCAATGCTCCACAGCCAGGCCTGGCTTTTCAGAGTCTGCTAGGCATGTCTCTTCCAGCTCAGTCATCAGTGGTGGCAGATCAGCAGCAGTGACAAAGGGGTCACACCATTGAAATTAGATAAATGTGTGACCTGAGGGGGGTATGTTTAAACATTTACTGGTACCCCACTATCGTTACATATAGAACAGTACAGAATTTCTGTGGTCACAAGAAGTGGAGAAGAGCTGCTGTGAAGACAGAGCTAACGTCTAAGGGTACATCTATCCAATATGTAAAAAAGAGAGAGAGAGAGAGAAAGAAGGAAGGAAGGAAGGAAGGAAGGAAGGAAGGAAGGAAGGAAGGAAGGAAGGAAGGAGAGAGAGAGAAAGAAAGGAAGGAGAGAGAGAGAGAAAGAAAGAAAGAAAGAAAGAAAGAAAGAAAGAAAGAAAGAAAGA